GCACATAATGCTCCAAACGTGCTCAATAGGAGAGAGATCCGGCGACCTTGCTGGAAAGGTAATGTTCGGCAAGCACAGTAGAAACACGTGCAGTGTGGGGGCGGGCATTACCTTGATGAACTGTAAGCCCAGGGTGACGTGACATGAAGAGCAACACAACGGGCCTTAGAAACTCATCAACGTACCGCTGTGCTGTAAGGTTGCGACAGGATGACAACCAAAGGGCTCCTACCGTGAAATTAAATTGGCACCCCAGATCATCACTTCTGGTTGTCGTCCTGTCTGCTGGAAGACAGTCAGGTTGGTATTACACCGCTGTCCGGGGCATCTCCAGACTCGCCTTTGCTGCTGGTCATCGAGGTTCAGTTCAAAGCGGGACTCATCACTGAAGACTATTCTACTCCAGTCAGTGACATTCCAGTGCGAATGAGCCCGACACCACTGCAAACAGGATTGACATTGTACAGAGGTCAATGGTATTCGGCGCAAGGGGCGCCGTGACCTCAGCTACCTTTCTGTGATCCCTCTATGAATGGTCCTTGCGGTCACTAAAGCACTAGTTGCACGTACAATCGATGATAATGATGCATCTGGGACTGTGAGCTCCTCTCTGACGATTGCTCTGTCTTCACGTTCTGTCGTTTCTCTAGGCCTACCGTTTCCTTCTTGACGAAGTGTGTGGCCATGGTTCACCCATTCCTGCCAACATCGTCTAACAGTGGCATCGCTCCTGCTCAAATGTCCAGCTATTCGCCAATAAGAACAACCGGCTTCTTTGTGCCCAACTACACGACCTCTCTCAAAATCTGCGCATATCGTTCGCGCACCTGTATGTGAGGCAGAGTTACTGTCTACCAGAGTACACGGAATGAAATTCGTGAAGAATTTATGACCTGGAATCGTAATTTCTCAGAAGGGTTATTAATTTCGTTTTGGCATTTTGCGTCGAACACTTTAAATGTCCGTTTCATTTTTTCAATTGTTGCCACCAAATATTATCGCTCTGCATTGTATTTAAAGATTGGATCGGATTATTCAATTATGGCAAAGCACACGAGGGCTATCTGCCTAAAGGGAGGGATGCCTTCGTGGAGGACTTTCTAAGAGAAACTGGCTCGTATACACGTTACACATGGGGAAAACTACGAAAACGCCCATGCAGCCAGCCCGTTCTCGGGATTCCAACCTCAGACCGAACTATCAGTGTTCAGCGTCTTTACCGCTCGGCCGCTGGTGAGCCGTTATATTTAAAGAAATTAAATAATGAAGAATCTGCATGAATGTATGCATGTTTCTTGCCTTGTGATAAAACAACGGTACCTGCAGCCATCAAAATTTGAATAAAAAGCTACATTTTAAGCTTTTTTTTACATATCTTCTTTCAAAAATTAGATCATGAGCCATTACCTCGCCGTCTTGTTTTACATGATGTTCTAAAATTACTGAGTATTAGTGCAGCGACGGAAATTTTTTCTTTCAAGGAAGGGAAAAAAAAATAAATAAATAAATAAATAAAATAAATATGATCAGGAGAAATTATTTCTTTCAACCCGATGTTTCTTTCAGAAAAGTTTCTTGAAAGTTTCTTGATTTTCTTGAAAGTTTCTTGATTTTCTTGAAAAGTTTCTTGATTCAGTTTCTTCAAAGAAACTGAATTTTTTAATTCTGCATTTTACTTACATAAATAATTAAAAGCAATCTAATTGCATCAATTTTATTTATTTATTTATTTTTGTAATTTAAGTATTGTATTTTTTGTATTGAAAATTTGTTTCGCTTGATTTGCTTTTTAATTATGTTTTCTAGCTACAGCCAAGAAAGACGTCTGCAATTTGTTAAATGCAAACATTTTATGCAATTTAAAAGAAAAAAATTAAATTGTGTCAAAAAGTTTTCTTTACATTGTGGCCTGCATTCATTTCTGCATTGATGAAAAATGTTTTTTTCTAACGAATGGTTTGATTAGTAACTGACAGTTTCTCCGAAAACGAACTCCCATCAAACCAAAAAACTGTAATAGGCACTAGAAAACTGTAGTTTGTGATGCCCCTCTATTTTTTTTTTTTTTTTTTCAAGTACACTGGTCATCAAAACGAAAGGATAATGACAGAAATAAAACGTAACTGATACTTAATGAAGCATTATTAACAGAAATTTGTACAAAATCATTAGTTGACATAGATTGCAACGCTTTGCAGTTCGCAGAGTTAAAACCAAATTTATGGAAAATTGGAAAATGATGGAAAAATTAAATCACCTCTAGTGGAATTTTTTTTTTTTTCTTTTAATATGGTGTATGTTCACCTGGGACAGATATGCATACGTCACATCTTGATTTCATAGACTTTACCAAAGCGTTGATCCTCTCTTGTGGAACTGCACGCCACTCTTTCAAAAATGCACTTTTCAGCTCCTGGAGGGTTCGCGGAAGAAACTGGCACACTCAAATCCGGAACCCTAAGGCATCCCACACATGCTCAATCGGGTTCAAGTTCGGTGAGTAAGGCAGCCAATTCATTCGAGTGATATCTTCTGTTTGCAAGTATTCTGACACCACATATGCTCGATGAGGCCGAGCATTGTCATTCATTAGCAAAAACTCTGGGCCAACAGCACTCCTAAACAGTCTAAGCTGGGGGTTCCAGTACCTCTTCCATATATCGCTGAGCAGTTACAGAAACACCTCCTTGAAAGATACACAGCTCGGTGCGGCCATTTATCACGATTCCTTCCCAAACCATTAAACTGTGGCCGGAAACGAGATATTTCAAGAAGAAGGGAAGGGAAATTGCATGTTCTTTCCTCTTTTTAGATCAAAACACGTCTAGAATCACTTTCCAGACTAGTATATCTGGACTCGTCAGTAAACAATACCCGGACTCAGTAGTCTTGTCTCCATTGAACATGATGACGGCACCAGTTTAAATGGGTCCATCTGGAAGTTGTAGTGAGTGAGACACAAACCATTGGTTTTCTCACATATTATAATCCAAACTCCTTAAGCTTTGACGCAGCAGTAAAACAGCTAATTTAAGCTCTCGCGACAGTCTGAAGGTCTTAAATTAAATCTCTTATACTCGCTTCGCGGTTCCTTCGCGCCGACAGCAACAGAAAACGGTCTTTTGATGCTCTTGGTCGCTCTTAACCCTTTGCGGCACAGTGTGTCCGGTCTAGACACACCATAAAAATTTCCTTCTTCACGCACAGAAAAATTGAATGAAAAGAATTTATAGGTTACTCTGAACCTTCTTTATTTATAGTAAATGGCATCTCAACACAAACCAGTCCATGTATTGTAGCCATGTTTAGTTTTTTAAGACCCTCATTTTTCAAAGAAATCTTCAAAGAAATCTTTCAAAGATTTTTTTTAGGGTATAAAAGGAATTGTTTGTTTGAAGGTATAAAAGAAATTGTTTGTCCTTATTCTATATTAGTTTTAAATTTTTACCTTGAAATCTTGCCTAAAATCAAACGGCGAACCCTAGGTGTGCCCAGACCGGGCTCAGCGATCATCTAGGACAACTGGAGTCTGTATTCTTTGTTTCTCTGCATCTTATCGGTCAATACATTGACAACAATGCTCGTTTCAGCACTCTTTTCGAAGCTCTATTGAATCAGTATGCCAACAGAATTAAAAGATAAGTACTATCTTCACAAAATTTGACTTGTGTACTCCTCTAGGCCTAATTAGACTGCCTACTTTTTTTTTTTTTTTTTTTTTTTTTTTTTAAATAAAAACTCCAATTTTCAAAGGTAGCGTGCCGGAAAGCACGCTACCTTTAGTAAGCACGCTACCTTTTTTCCTTCTCTTTTCCTTTTTTTAAAAGAAAAAGGGAAGGAAGAAAATATATCTTACTTATTTATTTAAGAAAATCTGACTTATTTTCTTAAGAAAATCTTACTTGCTTAAGAAAACACTGAAATTACTCACTGAAATCTGACTATTTATTAGAGAAAAAAGTTACGGATTGAAAATTTAATTAATCAGTCTAAAATTTAGAATGAGATAAAATTAGCTATTGAAATTAGTATCACTTTCAACGAAGAGTTGATAAATCATTCATTTAATTTATTCTTGTGAAATAGATATTAATGATCGTTCAAATATTATTTATTGGTTTCAAACTCGTGTTCAGCCTCATACGATGCAGACGCAGTGGATCGATTGGGATAAAGTATCCATTTTAGGGTGTTTGACCATGGTCAACTGGAAGAACACAGGTCACGGTTTGGCTCCCCCATTATAATGCGTGCCGAATAAAGCCTCCTGAAGATCTTTAGGGGGGGGTTAGCCAAAGGTCCCCGCGATTGGGACCAAACAACGTAATCGAGGACTTCGTCTAAATGGACTAATCACCCTCACACCTTGACATTCGGAACTGAGTTTGGTCAATCGCTTGGACAAAGTCCCTGCTTAAACTCCAGAATTTTCAAGTAAAAAAAAATTGCACGAGTTATTTAGTAAATACTGTTTTGTCTACAGAAGAACAACTGAAGCAATGAAAAAAATTTCTGGACTATCAAGAAACGGATTTTGTTAACAAAAAAAAAACATCGCGACACGTGCATCTTTAGCTTTTGTTCCTATTAAAATAAGAATTTCTAATGGAATATTCTTTTCCAAATAATGGAATATTCTTTTCCAATTTTTCATTTAATTTTCGCTTTCATGATGCTTATGCAATATAGAATCAAATTGTCTAAGTATTTAAAATTAATGAAAAATTTTCAGTGCCTCCTACAAATAATATACTGGTGGTTTTACTAGTTCTAATATACTAGTTCATTATATGTCCCATACGGGACAGTTACCATTAGCTAAAGTAATTTTGCTTCTCTTTGAATTTTAAGAATTGCGTTTCCTTTCTTTTTAACTAGAATGCTTTACCTACAAATGCATAAATAAATTAGTATTAAAATTTTATCTTAAGAATGTTCGACCCTTATAATGAATTAAACATTTAAAATAAAATTAAGTATGAAATAAAGAAGGCCACTCATACCTAAGTTTTACAATCAGTTTATTGAAAAAAAACCAATAGACCCCCTTGAAATGGAAAAAAAAAAAAAAAAAAAAAAAAACTTTTACATTTGACTGACTTTTACATTTTTATTCACTAGATGGTGAACTGTTTGAAGAATCCTCATTTCTCACTCTGGCAATCATATCCCGCAGGTGCGGATCAGCCAGAATACGTCTTCGAAACTTGTTTACTATTTTTGATGGTAAATTCTGCATTACTGGTCTCACAGGACTAAAGAAAATTAGTAATAAACTTTATTTTAAATAGTTAACATTTTAAAAATAAATGAAAGTTAAAAAAAAAGTCTGAAAGTTTTCAGATTTTATATTATAAGGTTTTTCTCACGCCTTCTTAGCAAGCCTTCGTGGTGTAGTGGTCAGCAAACTCAGTGCGTAATTGAGAGGTCCGTGGTTCAATTCCCGGCAAAGGCGTTGCTAATTTTTCAGTCTCTCTTCCTGCTTCCAATAATACCTAATGTCTACAATATTACGTCCCAAGGCGCTCTTTGTAACGTTTCGCGTGTAACCTTTATTTACTAAATGTCATGTTCTTCGCATTTAAACCATAAAATTAAATTCAACTGCAAGATCGCAAAATTATTTTTTAAATGAGCATAATTTTGAATTTCCGATACACAGTCTCTCGTGCTGGAGATAAAAGTGCTTTTTGTTTTTCGTACAGTGGTACCATTGCTTGCTTTGAAATCGTTGAATTTGTTATTCACAAATTCGTTCAAAGTTTACAAAATATGAAATAGATGATAAATTCCAAATTCCGAATTTGGGCTTGCGGATGCCCATAATAGGGTGGAAGTTTACGTTATTCAAAATTCGACAGCTCTAGGTACCGTTGTTTCATCACAATGCGAAAAACATACATACATTTATGCAATTTCTTCATTCTTTAATTTCTTTAAATATAATACAGGGCGATAAAATTTGGTGGCAACAATTTGAAAAATGATACGCCGTTTATAGTGATTCAATGCAAAATGCCAAAACGAAATTAATAGCCCTTCTGGGCTAACCGCCCTTTGGGCTAAAAATGTACTAATCGAAAATTTCACAAAATTTTCAGGATACAGTAATCAAAGTAAAATGTTAAAAGTGTACTAAAATATTCGTTCAATATAATTAAGGATTTTTGTGATTTACGATATAAACTTGCAACTGAGGAATGTAAGTTGACACCTGATCCATAGTTGTCGGAAACTATGAGATTAATCAGATTTTATTCTCATTCCTTGAGAGACGTTTATTCTAATTCATGTGGTTTCTCTCTTAAAAAATGGAGAAAAGAACAAGGGTTTAACGAAAGGATATGGTTTCTAACTGATCGTAAACAATGTTGCACATATGCGTGGCTTATGTGCAACATTATTATGTTATTAAGAAGAGATTGAAGTCCACCAGCATCCGAGCGGAAAAAGCCGAAGACTGATAGTTCGGTCCTAGCGAACGGGCTGGCTGCTAGAACGTTTTCGTGGTTTCCCTCTTGTGTTATAAGGTATACGTCTCCCACTTCCCGAGCGTGCGTTCGTGGTGTAACGGTAGCACGCTGGGTCAATATTCCAGAGTTCCGTGGTTCGATTCCCGGCGAAGGCGGTTGCATATTTTTCATCTTTTATGCTTCCAATTATCCTAATGACTCTACAGTGTGAAGTGTATACAAGCCAGTTTCCCCTAAAGTGCTCTACGGGGCATCCCCTCCTTTCCGTGTAATGCCTAATAGCGCAAAACATAATAAATAAATTAAATTAGAAAAAGAGAAGAGATCGGGATTTTCTTTCTCTCACCTACAGAACAGCTGGTCCCAGTTGCGGAATTGTTTCCGAGAATTATAAGCGACCAGCAGCCCTTCTCCTTAGGCTATACATATTCGATTGGATTAATGTTTGGGAAACATGGTGACCAATTAATTAGTTCAGGGGATTCCTTCCTTCTAAGTCGTCCACTAGCTAAGCACGATGCTGCCTGGCGTTACTATGGATGAGAATGAATTTATCATCAATTTCTGCAGCATAAGAGATGATAAAATATCTGAAGATCTTATTCTGTATCGCTGTGCCAGGAGTGATCTATTGAATTTTAACGAAAGTTCCCAGCCAACGCAAATATTGTCAGTTCGCGTTTGCGTGTTTAATCATATTTTATGAAACGATTTTTGGCATTTGAAAGAAAGAGACTTGCTTTAGAACCCTGTGGTGCGAAATTCGCAAAAAAAAAATTGTTTACAAGGCTCTCTGAAATTGAGCTATCGAGATACCGGATTAGAACCATCATTTACTTCCAGTTCTGTTGTAAAAACTCAGCTACAGAATGTCACCAAATCATGTGTATAGCTTTAGGTACTAATGTTGTATCATATGACACCATGAAGGTTTGGTACCGAAAGTTCAGAAACAAGGAATATTACATTCAAGGAGATAGGCGCTCTGGCAGGCTTTCTGATGTTGACGAAGCCCGCCTGCGAGAAGTTGTGGAAGAAAAACATATGCAACCACATCCAGAGCTTGCTAAGGAGTTAGTTGTTAGTGCCATGTCCATTAGTCACCCTATGCATCACATAAACTTGATTTACAAGTTCAAGCGCTGGTTGCCGCATGAGCTGACTCAAGGAAATAAGGACAGACGTGTTTGGGTTTGCACTAATCTGATCGAATATCAATGCAAGGACAAAATTTTGGACCTTTGATGAAAAGTGGATTTATTTTAACAATACAGGCCAAAAAGGGGGGTGGTCTGCGGCCGGTGAGCCCCTCAACAGCGTCACAAAGCGCAGTTTGACTGACAAAAAGATCATGCTTTGTATTTGGTGAAATTGCCATGGTATTATCCACAAAGAATATATGTAGAAAGGTAAAATCCTCGACAGTAAGATATACAGCGAGATGGTAGTCCGTGTTGAGGCTGCTATCAAGAAAAAATGTCAAACTGAGTTCCAGTGCAAAAAGGTAATGCTCCATCAAGATAATACAAAATCACATGTGTCTGCATTCACTGGTTGGACTTCGTACGGACTCGAATGGAATCTTTTGCCACACCCACAATATAGCCCCGACATCGTCCCTTCGGACTTCTACCTTTTTTCACATCTGCAGTTATATCTTGCTGGTGCTATTTTCCATTCTGAACAGGATGTCTAAAATGTGGTTGATGTGCTTTTGGACTCTTCACCACCAAGTTTCTGGGTCGAAGGCTTTGAAAAACTACCAAAACGTTCTCAGGATATAAGGTATTTTCCCCACTTCCCTAGTGTGCCTTCGTGGTATAACGGTAGCACGCTGGGCCGGTATTCCAGAGGTCCGTGGTTCAATTCCCGTGAAGGCAGTTGTATATTTTTCATCTTTTCTGCTTCCAATTAACCTAATGACTCTACAAGGAAATCATAGATTTGGGTGGTGATTACTACCCCCACTGAAGGTACTGCTTTCATATTTTTTTTTAAACTTTATTAAGAACTTTTTTTTGGCGGAAAACGTTCGTTACAACCAGATATTTCTGATGATAAACAAAAAAATCCGGCCATGACTAAAGATACCTGCCCAGTCCAATATTTCATCTCTTCTAAACCAGACAAATTCGTTTCCAAATGCAGAATTATTCCAAGTGGGGCATTATATACCAAATGATAAACCACCTATTGTCGAGATGATAATTGTCTCATTTCATAGACTAAAAATGATACTTTGAAACCCTTCTAAGGCTTCCGGTAAGAGGGGTTGCGTTTTGCCAACATTCAGGACCTCCAGGCTATTGGATACTGTTAAGTAATCTTGGTGAGATGTTGTATTTATTGCTACAAAGTATTCCATGTATGCCATTTATTGTTTCTAATTTCCTCCTCCTAATGTCTTTTCTCTGATTATCGAAAATGCGTTATTTCCGATTTCATAGACAAAATTTTCATATTTCGAAGTTTGTAAAATACGATAATTTTCCTATCTAATCCCCTTTCTTTCACTTGGATTAAAAAACTGATGTGTACACCACATGACTTCCTTGTACAGAATATTAAATTATACGCATTTTTTTCTTGAATTTCATTTAAATTAATTGGATTGAATTAAATCTAGTTCGTCGACAGCGCATAACCCACAATAGAATAAATGCACTCTTTAAAATTCACTATATTTGTTTACTATAACGACACTCTGAATGCACAAAATTTATAACATTTGAAGAATTATCGTTGCCACATGTTATATTCAAATACTATAATAAAGCTAGAACGATGTATGAAAGACATTAAGAAAACAAAACAGAAAAGAAACAGTTTTTCACAGACGATTTAGTATTTCTTATTCAATTAATTCAGTTCTCACTTCACGACAAGGAAAAAATACATAAAAACTCAAAATATCTGCATTAAAAATTACGAAGTAAATCTTAAACACTTATTTCCTCCAAAAAATTCCAGAAAGTATTAAGCACGATTTAATTCGCAATAATAAATGAAGGAGTTATCTTTGTTGTTGCGAAGCTTAGTCTCTCTAGATTGGCAACAAATCTACAATTCTGCTGCTTCAAATGTAAACAAATATGTCCGCCATGTTATTTAAAACTTAACCGCACTTACACAGCTTTTAAATTGTTGATAATTGTACAAATATTGCTTCCAGAATTACGAAAGGCGTAAAAAACCTTAACCGGAAGATAAAAACAATATAATTCAATCATTTTTAAAGCAAAAAATGTACAATTTACAAACATATAAGAGTAAAGAAACTGAGATCACTGAGCCGGGTAACAGAGTGGATATATATATAAATATATTTATATATGTTTGGTGCGCCCGATTGCAACCAAAATACGAGGTGCACATCTACATGTTATAGCAGTCCTATATACAAAATTGCAACGTTCTGAGGCTACTCGTTTTTGAGTTATGCGAGAGACGTACGTACGCACGTACATACGTTAGTACAGACGCCACGAAAAATTCTCTTCAGAATTGATTTTAAAGCAGTTTTATAATTTTTTTGGAGTAAAATATTCTTTTATTCTGTTCTTACGTACAGATATCACGCAAAAACATCGTTAAATTGCATTCGATAGCGGCCAAAATGGATATTTTCGTTGAAATATGTTGCCTGAAACTTTTTGCGATTACAATACTTCCTTTTTACTTCGTACAAGGAAGTAATAAACGAATCAATAGTATGGTTATTTTTTTTAGAACTCATAATAATCGCTACGGTTTTAAACAGAGTATTTAATTTAAAAGACTGATCTGTTTACAGAAATAATTTAAATTTCTATCAACGGATCTAACGCATCATTTTGAACTCATTCATCGATCACTTCATTTTGTACTAAATATTAATTTCATAAAAAAATCTGATTTGGATACCACATAATTTTCTTGTGCAGCCCATTAAATTATACACATTATTTTCTGCATTTCATTTAAATTTATTTCCTCGAATTATTTTAACTTCATCAACCGATTCCTTGAGGAAAGTTAAAAATGATATCAAAAATTGAAAATTTTGAAATTAAATATCCGGTCGATGTTTGCCGTGCTGGAGTCAAAATTCTCTGTCTGGTTTTATTTTTCATAACTTTTCCAAATATATAAGTATAGTAAACAGTATAAGGTATTTCTCCCACTTCCCTAGCGTGCCTTCGTGGTGTAACAGTAGCACGCTCAGCCTGTATTCCAGAGGTCCGTGGTTCGATTCCCGGCGAAGGCGGTTGCATATTTTCATCTTTTCTGCTTCCAATTAACCTAATGACTCTACAACAGGAGGGCCTTGTCAAAAGTTAAATTTCATTATTTAGCCAAAATTATTATTATTTTTTTAATTTCAGAATACCAAAACATGAATATTTTCGTCATTTAAAACCGTTTTGTAATTTCAAATATATTGTTGCGTGCGTACGGGTTCGTAATAGATTGAATTCACAAGTCCTATAATAAGTTAATAAAATTTATTCTTATCAAAAGAAATATATCAGAACTCTGGAATTTTCCTCAGAAATATTCGTATAGTTGTTCACAGTATCCCACAGTATAATCAGTAGTTATACTTCAAACTACTAAGAACATTAAACACAAAGCAATGCAAAATGCATCTAAAGAGAAAGTTAATCCGATCTCACGCTGAACCTACAGGAATAGCAACAAAAGCAAGTAATTTACTGATAAACAACTGAGAGCAGATGCTCTCTCTCCGGCCTTAAAATTTTTTAGCCGAGATACTTCTAACACTTCATTCCAGAAATTACTCGAAAGCAATGTGAAGGCAGAATTACGGTTATAGCTAACATAGTGGTAAATTGCATTTATTCAGTTTCAATACATATTATGGTGATACAGGAACTGGACAAAAATGTCCCCAAATGGTCGGCAAATTTGGCGACTTTTGGCTATTTCTCGCCAAATTACCGAGATATTCTTTCATTCAACGTTACATGCGCTTGCCCCTGTATTGCTTACTTTTCTAACATATCTTTCTCTTAAAATTTGTTTCGCGTTACAATACATAGAAAAATACAACAATTTCATATAAAACGGTACTAAAACCAGCTATCTATGTACAAAATCCGTAACGATATGATTACGACCAATGATTGCGAAAGTAAGAGACTTCTATGTCGGGGAAGAGGGTTATATATAAATATATAAACGTTTGATGCTGCCGATAGCTATAAAAAGGGAGATGCACAACTAGATTTTATAGCAATCCCATATACAAATTTTAATATTCTACGGATAATCGTTTTTGAGTTACGCGAGATACATACATTCATACGAACGTACGTACGTACAGACGTTACGAAAAAAATCGTTTTTTAATCCGTTTCAAATCCATTTTGCAACTCGATTTATAAAAAAGAGTACGCGTACTCAGGAACGTTATATTTCGTTGAAATATGATACCCGAAATTTTTTGCAATTGCAATACTTCCTTTTCTTCGTACAAGGAAGTGAAAATTGAGAATTTCAGGGTGGAAGATCTTCCTTGTCAATAAGACGAAACTCTCATAGTTATAGGATCTTTTTCTAGAACAAGATGATTCCTGATTCTTATCCACACTACCTCATTTCAAGGGTAAGAAATCAACTAGTTCTTGAATATCACTGACGGTAACTAGTGCTGGATAACTACAATTTAACAGTCAGATATTAACGCATAATATTCGTTGAAATACCTATCAGAAACGAAAAAATAGAAGTTCCTCATTTGCAAACAGAAAGTATGTATTTGACATCAGAATATGTATATATATATATATATATATATAAGAAATTTAGAACTAATTTTTCACAAAAACCAAAAATTGAAATTCATAATTAATAAATTTTAAATAATCCTATAAGTACAACAATTAAACATTTTTTTAATTGGTTTTATTACATTATGGCAAAGCACTCGAGGGCTATCTGCCTTAAGGGAGGGATGCCTTCGTGGAGGACTTTCTAAGGGAAACTGGCTCGTATACAAGTTACACATGGGGAAAACCACGAAAACGCCCATCCAGCCAGCCTGTTCGCGGGATTCGAACCTCTGACAGAACTACCAGTGTTCAGCGACTTTACTGCTCAGCCGCTGGTGGGCTAAACATTTTTTAAAACCAAAACTTTTAAGGTCATGAAAATTAGTTCTAAATTTCTTACTTTATGTCTTTATTGATAATTTTTCAGCCGCGCGAAAATGCTAGGCATGTTATACCATAAATTTTAACACCGCAAAAAGAGAACACGAAATCTTACCAGTCACGCATCAGAATATCCATTCGCTTAATGATGTCACAGATAGTAAATCTTTCTTTCAGAGTTTCGTAATAAATATGGTTTAAATCATGAAGCTGGATTTTTAAAAGGAGAAAGAAAAAGTTAATATTTTTTATATAAAGTACAGTAATTAGATGATTAAACGAAAATTTGTGAATCATGTCATTAAACTAAAAGTACAACGTCACAAGAACTGTAACAATAAATAACTATAACAACAAATTTGTTAAAAGTCCGGAGAAATGTTAAAATATTCCGTTCATGAAAGATACTGATTGGATTTATTGATTATGGCAAAACACACTAAGGGTATCTGACTCAGAAAGCATATCTTTATGAACTTTCTAAGGGATTAGTCCATATTCTGGTTAGATATCAGAAAAATATTTGCAATTAACTCATTCAGTTTCAGGGAATACAGAAGATGGAGCTATTAGTCTTTTATGACTTCATCTTCTCAGCAATTTCTTGGTCCAAAGCATGAGTTATACTGTTTTCCAAAAGTTAAGGGGTGCTGGAAGCTAAAAATCTTCAAAAAATGGTGGTTTGGGATTTTTGCATTTCCAAATTCTCTGCACTTTAAGCTTTCTAAAATTTCAGTCTCTATGAGAATTAGACTGTAATTAAAAAAAGTTAATATTTTTATGTAATGTAAAGTAATAAATATGGTTTAAATCATGAAGCTGGATTTTTAAAAGGAGAAAAAAAAATTTAATGTAATGTAAAGTAATTAGATGATTAAACGAAAATTTATGAATCATGACATTAAACTAAAAGTATTAAAAAATCTAATATTGAGTGCTTTGATAAATGAGGATTTTTACATAAAAATGCGTTTTCCTCCAAACGCGATATTTTTATACTCGATGTAGCTTTTCTCAGGAACTACTGTTCACAGGTACGTAAATTTTTATAGCTTATGTTATGTTTTGTAATATTTACTGAAATTAACTTTTTGTAATAAACTTTAAAACAAAATGTGAGAAAAGTGCTAAAGTTTTTTGCCATGCCTAATACAATATTCTATAAATTACTCTAAAACTCAAAATTCTTCAAAAGCTCATTTCAGTATAATCGGATATATGTACTTTAATTGCACAAAAAATTCAAACGTGTATCTGCAGGAGATTTTGTGAAAAGGTACATCTAAAATTGCCAATTTAACATTGTCGGTATAGGGAGTTCTGACTATGATTTGATTTACTTTTTGATTATTTTACAAAGTTCATATGAAGATAAGCAATTATGTTACACACTTATATTTAAAAAAAAATCACAGTAATGAGATCCTTAAAGATGCTCAGAATCATGTTAAGATTTTCCATATTTTGTTATTTAAGTTCTATGGTAACATACAAAATTTATTCATAAAGTTTTGGGACCAGTGGATGGACAAAAATATGGAAACACCTTGTGAAATGCATGTTTGAAAAGAAAGATTGATTTTAATGAAATATGTAGGTGGCGCTGGCGCGTTTTTGACTACTGACGCCACCTATACAACTTCGTAAATGTGCTAAACAGTTCAGTTGTTGTCGGAGTACTGTTATGTGAGGTTGTCATTGCATTATGTCAGAGTTAACAGACTTCGAACGTGGGCAAATTGTTGGAGCACGTATGGTAGGTGCTTCCGTAAGCAAAGGTAGCCGAGGTGTTTAGTGTTTCAAGAGGTACTGTATCGAAGATTTATTCCGCATATTGAAAAGCGGAAAAACATCATCTGCTAAATCACAGCGCGGACGAAAGTGTGTCCCGAGTGATCGTGACAGACGATCATTAAGGGCAATTGTGACGAAAAAAATAAGAAGACCACAGCTGCAAAAGTTACTGCTGAAATGAATGTTGTGCTACCGAAACCCTGTGAGTACCAAAACAATTAGAAGGGAGCTTCATAAACAGGGAATTGCTGGCCGTGCTGCAATTGAGAAGCCACTCATCAGTGATGCTACTGCCGTACGTAACAGGAAAAGGTGGTGTTTAAGTAGTCATAAAGCCTGGACTATAGAGCAGTGGAAGCGAGTAATATGGTCTGACGAGTCTTCTTTCACATGTTTCCCACACTTCTGGCCGAGTTTACGTTTGGAGAACGCCATCTCAAGCCTATAATACAGACTGCTTGTTTGCCAAGAGTGAAACATGGCGGGGGGGGTTCTGTTATGGTTTGGGCAGCCATATCGTGGTTTCTCTGCTAGCCCCATGATAACTGTGTCGGGGCACACGACTGCCAAGACTTATGTGAAACATTTTGGCCGATCAAGTTCATCCCATGGTACAAACTTTGTTTCCCGATGGTGATGGTGTCTTCCAAGATGACAAAGCCCCCTGTTCACACAGCTCACATTGTCCAGGACTGGTTTTCCGAGCACGAGGATGAGTTTGTCCCATCTCCCCTGGCCACCACAGTCACCAGACCTGAATATTATCGAACCTTTGTGGTCTACATTGGAACGGACAGTGCGTTCTCGTTATCCACCGCCAACATCGTTATCTGAACTTGCCACCGTTTTGCAGGAAGAATGGTATAATATTCCCTTGGCAAACATACAGGAACTGTATTTATTCATTCCGAGAAGACTGCAAGCTGTTTTGGATGCCGACGGGTTTCCTACACCATATTAAGCAAAGAAACATGTTTTTTTTTTAAAGGTGTTTCCTTATTTTTGTCCAACCCATGTAGTTTCATTACAGAATATATTTTCAAGAATTTCATCAACGTATTTACAAAGTTCAGGTGCGTATTAAATAGGTATAAAATCTTACATTAATGAAGAAAATGTTTTTAATCTATTGAATGTACTGCTATTAAAAATATCTGATGTGCATAGCACACGACTTCTTTGTACAGCCTGTTCTATTAGGCATAATTTTTTGCTGCATTTCATTTAAGCTTTTATTTCTCCAAATTTCATTAGAGATGTATTTCTCATTAAACCCATTATTCAGGTTTCACTTCGACGCAAAGAAAAAATGCATAAAAATTCCAAACATCTTCATTAAAAATTGTAAAATACGTAAAAATCTAAAGCACCAAATAGAGTTAAAAACCTTTAAAAGAAATTTTTAAATTAAAATTAGAGTTTAAACTAATTAAAATTAAAAAGAAAGACAGATTTTTCTGTGCACAAAACTTTTGGACCCAATCGGCAAAAAGATACAGAACTTGCTGCAGAAACTGACTTAATTCACTATGCTAGTAAGTTTTAAATATAAACAAATGGCGGCGTCTTTAGGCTTAGTGGAACTTAAACAACTTTTAAATTGTTGATAATTATAAAAATATTGCATGCAGATTTACTAAAGGCATAAAAACCTTAACCAGAAAATAAGAATAACATAATTCAATCATTTTTTAAAGTAAAAAATGTACAACTTACAAACATATAGGAGTAAAGAAAGTGAGATTACTGAGCCGGCTAACAGAGTGGATATATATATGTTACGGTGAAACATCGAAATCTGGAGAATGTCGACTTTCACCGGTGAGTGTAAACATTCACATAGTCGCTTGGTGTATGTCCGAAATATTTTCCAAATATTCTTATTTCTGACTTACACCGGTGAATGTCGACAGTCACCATGTACTAATGGTGAATTTTGAACATATAAGAATATTATATTTTCTTCTCCGTAATTCAATCGCGAAAAAACGCACTTGAAACTTAAAATAAGAACTTAATAATATAAGAACTTAAAACACACAGTACATTCAAAATGAGAAAGGAAAATAACAGAAGTTAAAAACTTACTAAATTATGTGATTCAACTCTTATTTATTGCAACAACTTAAACTATTATGACACTTTGAATTGCACAAGAGGCCCTTGCTTTTACAGCTACATTTATTTGTGGAACACTTCCTTTTGCAATGACAGCATGTACATATACTCCTCTCTTTTCGACGTACACCAGAGCATATCTGTGATTGTCAACTTACACCGGTGAGGTTCCGAATGTAATGCAATATTCGTTATTTCATCGACGTATTTGGTGAATGTTGACATTCTCCGGTGAAAGTCGACATTCTCCAATTTCTGTCTTTCACGGTAACATATACACATACATTTATATATATTTGGTGCGGCCGATTGCAACCAAAATACGAGGTGCACATCTACATGTCATAGCGAAATGCTATATATATATATATTTTTTTTTGTAGTGGTCCTATATACAAAATTTCAACATTCTGAGGCTACTCGTTTTTGAGTTATGCGAGATACGTACGTACATATGTACATGTATGAACGTAGAGACGCCACGAAAAGTTCTCTTCAGAATTCATTTTAAGTCAGTTTTATAATTTTTTTGGAGGAAAAGAGTCCTTTATTCTGTCCTTACGTATAGATGTCATGCAAAAACACCGTTAAATTGCATTCGATAGCGGTCAAAATGAATATTTTCATTGAAATATAATACTTGAAATTTTGCGCGATTACAATACTTCCTTTTTACTTCGTACAAGGAAGTAAAAACAGCTGAATGGCTAAGACCGAAATTCCAAGACTGTCTTCATAGAATTAAATTGTGTTACATATGATGTTTATTACATTGCATGTAAAGTACTTCCTCCCACTTTTAGGAAAATAAATTTATCTTATATATATAATAAGTTTTATGTATTAACTTACGTCAATGACTGCAAATATGAGATCGAGTTCCTCCTTCATAGTCCACCAACGATCTGACTTCCCACGTTTTTCCTATAGATAAATACAGCAATGATTAAGCTATACAGCTTTGAAGGAAAAATATTCAGTTGAAGCATATTAATTTATTTTTACTGTTCTAGAATATTCATGGTTTAAAAAAAATGGCTGATCAGTTTTATAAACAGTTGTAATTTAAGTGACACTGTATAGACGTTAGGTAATTTGGAAGCAGGAAAGATGAAAAATATGCAACGCTATCGCCGGGAATCGAACCACGGACCTCTGGAATATGTGCCTAGCATGTAGACCACCACACCGCGAAGGCATGCCAAGAAGGGGAGAGAAATACCTTATATATTCCCCCCTTACGAGGTCAGATTGTTAGATGACATTATATAGACAAATATTGACTAAAAATGCTTCTGCTATATACATCGGTAGTGTGACAAAGTGAGAGTATAATATTTAAAAGAATAGAACTGACTTCCCACATTCTTTTGAACGAGGTCGGCTACCTTAAAGGGCGACTGAGGTTTTTAGGGGACCCAATCGCCAAATCCTGGGTGAGGAGAATCATTATCCACCCCTTTTTAGTTCGGGCGCCACTGTAAAGACATTAGGTAATTTGGAAGCAGGAAAGATGAAAAATATGCAACGCCTTCGCCGGGAATCGAAGCACGGAACTCTGGAATACGCGCCCAGACCACCATACTACGAAGGCATGCCAAGAAAATAGGAGAAATACCCTACATTCACCTACAATTAGTCCGTTCTTTTTAACGTACCTATTTCATTGAAACTTAAAATATGCCACGGGAAATACTTAAAAACGTATAAACAGACCACTTGGAATAAAAAACTGCAACAGAAAATGGAGTTCATTTTGCTACCACCAGGTGAGAATGCGCGTAATGAAAAAAAAATATATATTTAATCGCAGCATTTGTTTAATACGCATTCTATTTTTTTTTTTCAATAATCGCTTCTTTTTGCTATGTGCAAGACGCCGTAGATCACTAAGAGCACGATAGCTGGCGTCGCATCTCTCTGCTGCTGCAGGATGGCCCATATTCCCTCAAAACTGTGTCCAGCTATTTCCGTGAAGATGGACTGTACGTCAGACAACATACGGGCTTGTGTTCCTTTGTCCTCATCGCCCCCCCCGGTTAGCTGTTAGATAACAGGTGTACATACGTACGTACGTACGTACATACATACGTACAGACGCCACGAAAAATTATCTTCAGAATTCATTTTAAATCAGTTTTATAATTTTTTTGGGGGTAAAAGAGTCTTTTATTCTGTTCTTACGTACAGATGTCACGCAAAAACATCGTTAAATTTCATTCGATAGCGGTCAAAAGGGATATTTTCGTTGAAATATGATATCCGAAGATTTTCGCGATTACAATACTTCCTTTACTTCGTACAAAGAAATGCTGGACAAAGACATTTCTGGACTCAGGATGAGAATTCCTAGATTAAGGTAAACTGAAATGAGCTTCAGATGAAAATTAATTTATTTGACATTTTGAGTCACCTTAAATACGACTCCCTTTTTACGTCAGCTCAAGTAATATTAAATTAAAGGATAGTAATGAAATTCACAACGAACAAACAGATTTTGCAATACTAAAAAGAGAAACAACATACTTTTGTGTAAGATGGCTCAATGGGTGGTGTTAGTGGGGTTTCCGTCTCATATTTTTTCATTTCCTCTTCTAATGGAATTTTAGTTTCTTTACATTTTAACCTTAATCTTTGAAACCTATCTGCTGTAATAAATGCCTCATCAAATCGTTCACGCATTCTCATCTCTTCTCGTAGCTTATCACGTGACTTCTGATATACACCATGTGGATATATCCGATATCCCATTTGTGACCCTACCCAAATTGGCTCCTCTTCTAGAGGTTTTAGAAGTACATCTATCATTTCCTTATTTCGTTCTTTTTGTTCCTGTTCTTCTCTTTTCTGTTCTTCTTCTAATACTCTATCAGGAGGAAGCAGAGAGTGTTGGGCGCATTTTAAACTTTCAGTTTTCTTTGCTTCAAGAACTGCCTCTCTAAGAGTTTTTCTCTCTTTGTTTGTGAAAGTCTCTACTTGTGGCGCAGAATACTTCTTCCTTGAACAAGCCTCTTCTTCGCAAAGTAACTCATCCTGTTTTCCTGGTAAAGAATCAAAAATTCCAAGTTGATTTCCATGGAATGCCATTCTTTTCCAACGTCCTATTGCAGGATCTGGTTCTTTAGATACAACTATAAAAATAAATATGAGAATATAAAAAATAATAGTTAAAAATTTTTCATTATGGCTTAGGATAAATACTTCAGTTAGGAACTAATACTTGAATGAGTAAATCTAAACAGATTGCCATTCGTCAAAATAAATTACTTTTAGGCTCAAGTGGTTTGTACTTGTTAAACATTTACTCAGTCGCCCAGAAATTAATTCCTATCCTTTTCCACCTTCAATTACTATCTACCCCCCCCCAAATATAAGCGCAAAAATCCTTATAAGAATAATTCTTTACGAATGATTTTATTTTTAATAATATAGGAAATAAAATCTGAGGAACTATGAGTATATTTATAGGAAGATACATTTATTTGAAACTCTATTAAGTAGTACGATATACATTTATTTGAAACTCTATTAAGTAGTACGATATACATTTATTTTAAACTCTATTAAGTAGTACGATATACATTTATTTTAAAATCTATTAAGTAGTACGAAAATTTATTTTAAAAATCGTTAAATAAATACATTTATTTTAAAACTCTATAAAGTATGAAATTTATTGAAAACATTAAGTAGTACGAAAAATGTTAAATAACAGTATGAAATTGAAAACAGCTATGCGCAAAAAAGTCCTTTTTCAAATCTTGTAGAGTCATTAGGATTTTTTTGGAAGCAGGAGTCTCAAAAAGTATGCAATGCTTTCTCCAGGAATCAAACCTCGGATCTGTCGATTACCGGCAAGTGTGCTGACCCTTACACCACGAAGGCACGCTAAGAAGGCTTAAGAACTACCTTATATACGACCCCTTTTAAAGGACGATTGGCGATTAGGGTACCCAATCGCCAAATCCTGGTGGTGGAGAATCATCATTCACTTTTAGTTCATTTTTAGTTCAGGCGCCTCTGCAGAGACATTAGTATATTTGGAAGTAGGAGTCATGAAAAATAAGCAAAGCTCTCACCGGAACTCGAACCTCGGACCTGCACCACAAAGGCATGCTAAGAAGGCGGGAGAAATACCTTATAAACTATATAAGGGTTAATTCCTTATTACTTTTCCGGACGGGAAAGGTGGTCTGGTAATGAAAAAAATTACGTTATCGAACTTAACATTTTAAGACTTTTGATCAAGAGAAATCTGAAGAAAGGAGAATGCACTAAAACCTCTGAAATGAAGTAAAATGCAGATTTCAAACTTTTTCAAGTGTGATAACTATCAAGAAATAACAAACGAAGTAATAATTTTGGAAAACTTCTACATTTACTCTATGAAATAAATGCACAACAATGAAAAATTCCAACCCCTCATTGTTTCAGGACACTGAAAAGACAACAAAATTTATAACTCATTTAAAAGAGAATTTTTAAAAGTATTGATGAAAGCTTTCCTGTTAAAATTAACAAAAAAAAAAAAAAAAAAAAAAAAAATCTGAAATGTTTCAGATTTTAAATTACGTCCAAAGGGGCGTTTTTTAACATTTTGTGTGTTACCTTTCTTTATTAAATATCATGTTCCTCGCACTTAAACCATAAGATCCAGTGCAACAGCAATATCGCAAAATAGTTTTAAAACGAGCATATCTTTAGAATTTCCGATACAGAGACTCACGCGCTGGAGATAAAAAATGTTTTTTCTGCACAACGTTGCCATTGCTCGCTTTGAAATCCTTGAGTTTGTTAATCAAAAAATTCGTCAAAGTTTTTAAAAAATAGGAAATCGATCATAAAACAAATTTCAAATTTCAAATTTGGTCTTCCACATGCTCATATTCGTTGGAGGATTACGTTATTCAAAATTCGATGACTCTATGTACCGTTGTTTTTTTATCACAATACGAGAAATATACATACATTTATGCAGATTTTTCATTATTTAATTTCTTCAAATATAATGCAGGACTCTAACATTTTGTGGCAACAGTTTGAAAAGTGAACCGACATTTACGAGTCCGACGCAAAATGCCAAAACGAAACTAATAGTCCTTCGGGATTCAAATCCCTTTGGACTAAAAAAAAAAAAAAAAAAAAAAAAAAAAAAAAAAAAAAACTAGTCTGAAACGTGACACGAATATTTTTTTTTAGATATTGTAATGCTCTAGCTTAAATAAAGTTCTTTGACTGCTAGAAACTAGTAGAACTGAGTAGTGACTATTCGCTAAGTTTTTGTAGTGTAAATAACAACTCCGAAGAAGGGTTAAAATACAGTTGATTTGAACTTAACTTATTTACAAACTGTCCCTCTTAGGCGCACAGGAAGCCAACACTTTGACTTGAACTTAAAATAGAAAATGTAAAATTAAATTAAGATTAAATAGTGCTAAAAAGCCTAATCTGCACAGAGTTGTTACCGCGTAGTTGGCTCCTGACACTGACGACTTTCCATTCCAGTATGAAACATATGCAACAACTTTCAAAAAGGAATTTAACAGTGGATTTTTTTTTTACATATTTTTTTATGCAAATAGTGATGCGCTGTATAAAAAGACACATATTCTTTCATTAATATTACAAATATTTCCCTAAAAATCACTAAAAAATAACTTTTGTACTTCATTATCTTTCTCTGATACTTAATAATATGCATACAATTTCATACACCCACTTAGGAATTTCAGTAATTTTATATATTTTTTTCTATGGCAAAATTATAACTCTTTTGCATGTTCAAAGTTCTGAGAACAATTTAAGACAGTTCTGAACATATTTACGAGAACTGAAATGCGGGAGAATTTTCTTGTCTAAGACTCAGTTTTGATATTTTATAAGAACGTCAATTTCGTAAGACAGTTAAATGCATAAAAGATACGAAACCATGTAATACACATCAATGTACGGGTAACAAGCCAAAATACTTAAACTTTTCGCTACGAATTGCAAAAAATTAATCCGTTTTCTATCCAAGAGAACAAAATATGTTATAAATGAGGTAAATTTAGCATTTGGGATTTTTCTGAGAAACGGTTTTCAAGCCAACCGTTTCTCAAAAAAATCCCAAATCTCCGTTTCGCCGGCGCAAATCTCGCCAAGCAGACTTTATTGGCGACAACATACAGTGTACACATAAAAAATGTTAACAAATGTTAGTTCTAAGCATTTTTTATTTTGAAGGCATAAACATTTTAATATCTTTTAAAATTTTGTAAAAAGCCAATAAATAAACACAATAAATTTGTAAAAAGTTATCAATTTAAGAATTTACTATGCTTTCATGGTTCAATATCCTGATTCGCCTTTTCATATCACGTGACCCAAAGTGATCTCATCTCACGTAAACTACGCCGAAAAAAATCTAGTTCTCTCAGTAATTATCTACATTAATTTCAAGTTAAATCTTAATTTGGAACACAAGTTTAAATGCAAGAATTATTTCAGTTCGTACGAATAGCTTACTCAGAAATTATGTAAAATCGTAGTGCTTTACTTCGCTAGTGCATTCTCATTAGAATGGATTAATTTAACCCTCGACTTTGCCTTTTCTATACTTTCGGCTTCGGGTGAGCGGTGTGATTGCATCCTAATTGACTTAATTACCGCGAATGGCCTCACGGCATAAATGGAACTATCTGGTAAAAATTCTATGTAATTGCATGCCAGTATTGAAAGAAACAATCAAGCTGATAAGAAATGGTTGAGAATTGTTTTGAAAATGAGGCGTAAAAGGTTACCAGCGAGGATATTACGTTTGGCATCAACTGTACCATTATTGGCGACTTTAACACCTGCCCCGGCAAAACGGAAAAGTACCGAGTTCAGTTTTCCTATCGACTTCGGTGGACAGAAGAAAGAGATATTAGTTGAGATACTAAACAAAAAGAAACGTAAAAGAAAATTCAGATTTGGGTTATTTCAGTGAGGAAAATACTCTGCGCAGTGTGTTTTCATCATCGAAAGTCTTTTGGAGAGGATAAAATGTAGACCCTACTGAAGACGAAGTAGCGAATTCTCGCTATGTCTTGAAAAACAGGTGACTGCCGACGAAGGTTATAGCAACCTTTTTATTTTAACTAGAGTGAATAAAACATGCACTCATTCGGTCTTCACAATTTAACTACCACTTGTGGCTAAGTAACTTAAACACAAAATAGTATGTACAATCACAATGAATTAAATTTTAGCTACACGATTGGCTCTTACTTCAATCTAAATCCGCTTTATAGGCTGCACACTGCAAAAGCCGAGCCTAGAATATTAATATAATTAACATAAGTACCTAGCACCAAGTATTCAACAACAGAGGTACTTGCAAACACGGCGGCATAAACTCACAACTAACTCTTCTACCGCGAACTCTAAAACTCTGCTACTTAAATACTGTTTCCGAGCTCCTTTGTATTTGCATATAAGTCAATTTAAATTTGCATTCCGGCAGGATATTGAAATCAAAAGGGAAAAGAATGTTTCTTAAAATAAAAATAATTGATTAGTACAAAATAAGGTCTTGGCAAAACAAACTAGAATTAAGAATTCTACCAGCAGTTCAGATTAGGGAAGAGTTCTTGTTTCCCCTTCATGTAAAATGAATGTCAGAATTTATATGGGACAGATTTACTTTCATGGCAACCAAAAATTATATTGGGTTAATTTGCAGCTTGAAACCGTACAGAATACGGCCGCGAGGAATAGAAATCCTTGAGTTAGCTTGAAGTTTGCGAGCATGCATTTTGTAAAAATACTTGAATTTGAATAAAATTTACTGATTTGATTTTTGAGAACAAATTTATTCAATGAAAATTATCCAGTTACCATGCAATATTGAAACTCCCAATATTCGAATGAAACTGAATATTCACGTGAATTTTGTGTATATATTATAACCTTATTACCCGAGTTATTGTTCAGTTTACTATACGTTGAGCAAAATTCAACATAATATTTAAACGAACATATTTAAATTAATACAATATTGATTATTTCTATGACAATTTTTTATTTCAAGAATAAGAGTTAACCAAACATGGAACATGATTTGGCATAAGCGAAAAAGTAAATTCAGAAGAACTTGTGGTACATAAAAGTACTAAAATTAGAATAATTAATTGTGAATAGAACTTATAGGAATAGAGGCTTTCAAGTTCAAAAATTAACTGATTAATCAACTTAATTTAGTTAAACGCTGATTAACCGAATCTTTCACAGAACGATACATAACAGCAAATACGTATAATTAATTCAATAAAAAGTAATGCCTTATATATCTCTTCGGAATAGAGAGGAAAATTAACTGGATTCCAGAAATTTAAAAGCAAACTCTCACTTTATTACCTCCAAAAATGACATACAAGGACCTAATAAAAACGACCATAAAAGACTTTCTCTCTCTTCAAATATTTATTCCTTTTGCTTCATAAGTATTCTTAAAAATTATTTTTTTTTTCAAAATTACATTAATTGTAATGAATAACACTCATAAACATTAGTTTATTCTTAAATTTCTTACACATGAAATGCATAAATTTCTTTGAATATGAATCTTAAAAGGTTCTCGAATCTATTGAATCCCTTCTCCATATATGATTAACAAGAAAAAAAGTTATAAGTTATTAAGATGTAAAGACATTAGGTTATTTCGAAGCAGGAGAGATGAAAAATGTGCAACGCCTTCGCCGGGAATCGAATCACGGATCTCTGGAATACGCGCCCAGCGTGCTGACCACTACACTACGAAGGCATGCTAAGAAGGCGGGAGAAATACCTTATATACTCCCCCTTTTAAAGGGCGACTGGGGTTTAGAGACCCATTCGCCAAATCCTGGGTGCGGAGATTCATCACCCACCACCTTTTTTTTTAGTTTGGGCGCCATTGTAGAGACATTAGGTTATTTGAAGCAGGAAGACGTGAAAAATGAGCAATGCCTCGCCGGGTATCGAATCACGGACCTCTGGAATACGCGTCAAGCGTACAGACCACTACACCACGAAGGCACGCTAAGAAGGCAGGAGAAGTACCTTATAAAGATGCTGCAAATAAAATATCCAATTTAATCTCCGGAATGTTGAAGTTCTTCCCTTAATCATAATTTAAGAAGGTATATGAATAACAGAACAAATATTTTACATGTTTACGAATCTTTTAAAATCAAGTAAGAATAGAGAGGGAAGGGCAAAGAAACGTACATTTTCCTTTGATGCCAAAATAACGCAAAACAGCGCTGTCCTCCGTTTCTTCAAGAACACGAGCATCTTTGGTAACATCTGACGGGAAATATATTAACTGCTGATGGATTCGATTCCAAATACTAGGCTCCTTATGTACTGGCTCTTCACTATGTAACTCAGCTCCTCGTGACCGTATTAAGTCTTGCCACTCCGAAAGAGCTTTAGCAGTACGTACTTCAATGGAAATATCACTTCCAACTTTTGGAAGAGTTTCCTGTACTTCTGGTATCTGCGCAGTACTTGTAGCCGCATCTTCAGCGACTGAAAACGAATTAAAAGGTCTCTTTAAATATTTTAAAATTTTAAATATAAAGAAATCAAATTTACATTCAAAATATCAAATTCCGATTAAAATACAGTTTAGACTGCTTAAATATACTTTTAGAACCTAGTTCTACAAATTGGAAATACCAAATACAGGGTGAATCTGAACAAGAGGGCAAAACTTTAGGGAGTGAAAGAAGCCAGGAATACGAGCAATATTCGTCATAAAATGTATCGTCGGAAAGCAAGCGGTGAGAAGTTACAGGGTGAGAAGTTACAGGGTTTTCCACTTAATTAACACACGAATGGGAGGAGATACTTCAGAAAACATTTTGTGAACAGAACATGGTCGTATTTCTCCCGCTTTCTTAGCATGCCTTCGTAGTGCAGTGGTCAGCAGGTTCGGCGCGTATTGGAGAGGCTCGTGGTTCGAGTCCTGGCGAACGTTTTGCTAATTTTTCATGACTCCTGTTTTCAAAAAATACCTAATGTCTCTAAAGTGGCGCCCGAGCTAAAATGTGGTGAATGATGACTCTTCACCACCATGATCTGGCGATTCGGACCACTAAAACACCAGTCACCACTTAAAAGGGGAAGTATATAAGGTATTTTTCCTTACTTCTTAGCATGCCTTTGTAGTGTAGTGGTCAGCACCCTCGACGCGTATTCGAGAGGCCCGTGGTTCGATTCCCGGCGAAGTTGCTAATTTTTCATGACTTCTGCTTGCAAAAAATACATAATGTCTCTACAACAGAAATTGCTCAAAAGACGTTCCGCCAGGTGTAATGAAGGCTTCGCACCTGCGGGATAGGGGATTGACGCACATTTGCAAAGACACTGATCATTTCCCGAATATCGCCGGCTAAAACGGCGATCCTGGCGACTATATCAATATTGGTTTCAGTGGGGCACTCGTAGATTACGCTTTTCATATGGCTCCACTGGGAAAAGTCCAAACACGAGAGATCCGGTGATCTTGGTGGCCAAGCTAGGAGAACCAACTCGACTAATCCATTGTTCTGGGAATTTCGTGGTTCGCATAACCAACAATCCGCTCGGCAATTCACGGTATAAAATGACGTTGAGTGAGAAGACTGACCCTTTTTAGACCATTTATTTACAATGCCATCTAGCGGCTCGCCGTTTGAGTTCCAACCATACATTTTATAGCGAATATTGCTCGTATAGTTGCCTTCTATCACCCCTAAAGTTTTGCCCTCTTGTTTAGATTCACCCTGTATATGGATATGTATGGTGTTTGTAAACAAATTTTACTGCATAATACTATACAAAGACACAATTAACAAAGGTAAGCTTTCTTACTGCCATCGCAAGTACACTGCTGGCCGCCATTAAAATTGCGACACGAGGAAGGAATGATCTGACGAATGTCAAAATCACTTGAAGAGAAGAAGATGTTGGGATATGCAAATGATTAGCATTTCAGCGCATTTAGACGGCGCAGGAGGAAGAACAGAGATCTGAAAGAAAAGTTGTGTAGTAGATATCTCATTCGGAAAACACTTTGTAAGCTCGGGGTTTGCTCAGAATATCGTGTTATGCCTCGAATTATAAGAAGAAATGCTTACCAGCGAGTGTCAGAATTCGATAGAGGCAGGATCGTTGCTTATCAAGAGTGCCGATTATCGATCCGTGATTTCGCCCGTCGCAGTGGTCGACATCCAGCCACTGTCATGCGAATATGGAATCAGTCGGTTACTGAGGGCCATACTGAGCGGCATGCAGAATCTCAACACTTTTCCTTGACTAACGCCAGAGAGAACATTGTGAGGGTCAGCCCTGCAACACCGTACGGCTACATCACGAATCATCAGTCAGGAAATGGGCATGTTTGCAGCGCGTCCATGTTGCAGCGACGCATCCACTCATACGGTGCGTAGACATTTGCAGCAGGGTGGCCAACCAGAACGGCGACCGCTTTTCATATGGCGACCATTACTTCAGCTTCCCCTGGCAATGCAGCATAGAGAGAGATGGCGCTCTTGTGTGCCGAACGACAAAACTGGATACAGGAGTGGCAAAATGTCATCTTTTCCGGACGAGTCCCTTTTCTGCGTGCAGTATTCTGATTTCTGTATACGTGTTTGGAGGCTTCGAGGAAACCGCACGTCTCCTGCTTGCATTCGATATCGGTATAAGGGCCCTGCACCTGGTGTCATGGTTTGGACAGCCATTGGATACACGATACGCACATCTCTGGTTCGGATCGACGATAATTTGAACGCAGATGAGTACATTTCTGACATCTTACCGCCTAGTGTTTGTGCCCTATAAACGAAATCTTCCAACAAGATAATGCAAGACCACATGTTGCACGTCGTGTTCCGACCATCCTCGGTTCACCGCTACACAGATTATTCAATTGCTGCTCCAGCCTGCACGTCTCCAGATCTGTCATCCATTGAAAACATCTGATCATGATTCGCTAGGAGATTGACCCGCCACCCCTCTTCAGCTAATACGGTTGATGAAGTGTGGCATAGACTTGAAGCACTATGGAATGAGTTGCCCATTTCCGTCATCCAATCCCAGTTCGACTCCATGCCTAACCGGTTAAGGGCCGTTTTAGCTGCCAGGGGTGGCAGCTGTTTCTACTAATTTTGCACCCCTTGTAAATCCCCAAACTGCTTGTAAATTTAATCATTTTTTCTTCATGCCATATTCTTTAGGTACAATAAATATCTTTTTTTGTATTTGCTTTCCTTCATGGTGTTGCAATTTTAATGGCCAGCATTGTATTTTTGGATATAACAATATTTTTAATTAATTTTAATAATAAGGAATGCTTAAGATTTAATTATTTTTTTAAAAAAGAACAACTCAAGTTCACCTCTTCCCACAACAAGAGCGGCTTAATTCAAACAATATTTCATGGATTTCTGAAATCAGAAATACATTTCAAGTATTTTAGAAATTTATAGCTATTAGAAATGAGATAATTTCATAGTACTCAGAACTTTTAGTTAAATATAAAAAAAAATGCAGTAAATTAATTCTTGTTATAAATATTTAAAGAAAAAAATTTATGTTGAGGGAGTTTCTAGGGTGTTCCGATGTTTTGAATATGACAGTAATTTTTGGACGCATTCCAGTGCTTGCTATTTCATAGAAATCTCGTCTCAGTTTTTAATCATTTTCTTATAATGCAAGAGAAAATATTGAGGAATAGCAGTTAAGTTCTTTCCGAAAACAAAACTGGCTTATTGAGAGTTAATCGAAGCTGTATAAAACTATAGTGAAGATTTTATGAGGGTGTTGTGATGCCACCCATATTGTTCTAAATCAATTACACTGTTTGGTGTAAGTTTTATTTTATCAAAACGGTCAGTGGAAAAATATGCAAGTACCGTACTTTACTTATATAATGTGATTAATTAAAATTAAATTTTTATTTTATGCTAATCTTTTCAAAATTAAACGATATCGGAAAGGTTTAAGTTATATTTTTAATTTATTTGAATCTTTTAAATTTCCAATGCTTATTTATTTAAATCTTTTATAATAAATTTTAAATAATTAAACTTTGCGATTTTTTTTCTGCATTTTTATATTTCAACTCTATTTAAACGAACTCGAATATTATTAATATAAATCATGATTAACAGATCTTAATATCTTCAATGTAATAAATGTCAAATGCAACTACATATCAAACAATTGAGCTTCTTTTGCAGTTAGATGCAATGCATATACGGTAAGGCTGCGCAAGTCGTACCACTTATCTTTGTGCTCATTGTTGTAATTATTTATATAAATAAATTAATTGAGAAGAAAAAGCTTTATTATAATTGTCCAATTTTAAACGCAGTACGACTTAAGTTATAGGTGATATGGCTTGAAATACTGCTTGTCGAAGTCTGCAGTTAGATGCAATGCATATACGGTAAGGCTCCCCAAGTCGTACCACTTATCTTTGTGCTCATTGTTGTAATTATTTATATAAATAAATTAATTGAGAAGAAAAAGCTTTATTATAATTGTCCAATTTTAAACGCAGTACGACTTAAGTTATAGGTGATATGGCTTGAAATACTGCTTGTCGAAGTGTTATTAAGTTAATATTCATAAATTTTATGAATTTTATTTTAGACTATGTGGAATTTTATTGTAATAAATATCCACAACGATGACACAAGATATTAACACCACACACAATTTTTATTTTTTTCATAAATCCTACGATTGATACCTACTTTTTCTTAGAGATACGACTTACGCAACCTTACCCTATATATCCGTGTTTCAAAAAATGAAAGCGATGGCTATTTATATATTTCTAGAACTACACGTTAAATACAATAATTGGAATTTCTCTAAAAGGTAAGGTCTACTGTACTTGTCTGAATGCACTCCTCAGAAGTATCAGGAAATACACTTTTTACTATTTCTAGAAGGCCCTGTAGTAGGAAATCCATCTCAGTAGCAACTGTAGGTGGACCTGTAGAAGTACTAGTTGAAACCAGAACTGGCTCAGGAGTTATAGCAGTATTTGTATCTGCATCTTTGTGCCATTTACCAATCCTGAACACTGAAGAAGGTTCATCTGTGGAAGTAGTAGCTGTAAATTCTTCCGTGATATCAGTGTTTGTAGCTGCATTTTTGGGCGATTCTAGAACACTGTAAATGATTTTTACAATAGGTTCAATCACATCATCTGCTGAAGAAGTAGGTGTAATCGCTCCTATAATACCAGTATTTGTAGCTGCATCTTTGCACAACATTGGGAATTCTATGTCTTCTGAGGAGGAGGAAGAAGAAGCAGCTTCCGTGATGATGCCACCGTAGGTCTCTATAAATGACTTCGGAAAATAAGCTACTGGGTCATCATCTGAGGGACCAAAAATCTCGTCTCTAAGCTGCTTTAGATAATCAATGGTAATACCACTACCCGTAGCAGCAGCAGTAGTAACAGCTGTGGTTGTTCCTGTAACGAAAGAAATGGTCTCTAAAAATATTTTAAAACTTAAAATATACAAAATGAGAAATCAAAGTTATGCTCAGAATTTAAAATACAACATAATTTGCTCCTTTAAGAGCGTACGACTTTTATTATTTTAATTAACCAGTTATTATGAATTAGACCTTAACTGTCACATTTTTCTTCCATTTCCACGCCAGAATGCAAATTACTTCGCGAGTATTGAGGTTTTTAGATTATAAGAATCAGCGTGTTCTGCCTCTCGAGGCCACACTCAAATAAGATTCATAGTCTTCGGCCTTACATTATAATTGCTGGTATTTGAATATCTACGCCGGTTAGATTTGAAAGCCAACTTCGCGTTAAATTGAATTGTGTAGTGTTTGAATACGAGCTTATTTTAAATTTGAAAGAACTGTTACTTTAAGTTACATTGTTACTGGCGGCTCTAGTGTAGAATTGGGCGCCCTTCGATTAGCGACAATTTTTTTTTTTTTTTTTTTTTAATTTTGGCGATGAAACCTCCCTTCTGGTTACCGTGATAGTTTTAACTTTATTTTAGCTTCCTGATTTTATTTAAATGAAAATAGATTGATGTGTACATGGACAAATTTAAGGCGGTGCGCAATGCATAGTTTGTGCAATTCTAGGATGTTTTTTAAGTGAAAACAGATCGATGTGTACATGGACATAATGTTTGTGCAATTCTTTGACTTCTTATTTTGGTTTCGTGTAGCGGCCGTCTTGAAATTGTGCCTTCCTGGCGCCGATCTTGGTGTCAAAAAAGAATCGCCAAAAAACAAGGGGCAACCAATTGGAAACTTTTACCCAAGTGGTTGGTTGAATTGTAAGCACGAGTTGTGCTTACATTTTTCAAGCCACGATTTAATAAAAGGATCTTTTTCAATCCTTCTCAATTATCTAGCGATAATTCACTGTCAGTCTGTCTAAAGTTTGGTTACAATTTATGGTTGCTGAAAAGGCTGAGCTTTATAAGAGTTTGACTAGTTTTATAATTCCTCAATCTACTGCTTGAATGTACACTGCGCAAAAAGAAAATGGGACAGTTCTATACCTCCCGTTCTATTAGGCCGATTGACGAAATTCAGCTTGCGTTTTTCATGTCTCGAAAGCGCGACTTAGGATATTTATTAGATTTATATATAGCATTGTTCTAATATAGTATTTTGATACAAAATCGAACTTTTTCTAAAATGACATGCCATTTTTTTTTTTCATATTTCGATTCTACGACTCAAATTATGCCAAACTGCCAAGTTTTGTAAAAATCGCACGGGTAGTTTTTACCAACGCACGGGTAGTCATTGACCAACAGAGCCCACCAGCGGCTGAGCGGTCTAAGTCGCTGATTACTGGTAGTTCGGTCCGTGGTTCGAATTCCGGCGAACGGGGTGGCTGCATGGGCATTTTCGGGGTTTTCCCCATGTTTAACGTGTATACGAGTCAGTTTTCCTTAACAAGTCCTCCACGAAGATATTCCTCCCTCAAGGCAGATAGCCCTCTAGTGCTTTGCCGTTATCAAATAAACCGAAACATCATCGACCAACAAAAGGCATGAAGTGATTTAGGTCAATGTGACTTCTTCTTTTTAACTGTGATGATGACATTCAGTCCCAAATTTAGCATATTTTGCACCCTAGATGATTAGGCTAATTGGGTTCCACACTAATTAAATATCTTAATAAATCAAAGAAAACTATACCTTTGCTAGTCTGCAATCTTCTGTGAGGACACAGTGGATGGCACATATTGAATATATCGCAGAGATTCCGTTCTAGGATTAGCTGAGTCACATGGTCGTCCTCGACCTTGTCCAGAGCCAGATTAGGTCTTGTTGCAGTACGCTGATAGGTATTTTCATGTTCTCTTATGAGAGCAGAAGGAATAGTTTCCTCAGAAGTAGACTGAAGATAATCATATAGTAGTACTTCTAACTGTTGCCGTGCCCGTAATCTCTCAGCGATGGTGGTTGTTGCAAATACATCATCCGTGGAAGTACCCGTTGTGACGACATCATCTCTTTTAGCCAATACAGCGACATTTGTGAAAGAACGATATCGAACCGGCCATTGCGTAACGTCATCACCAAACCAAAAACAGAAGAAATCGTGCCAGTATTTCAGGATTTTGGGCTCTTCCTTTCGTATAGGAATATTCGTAGTTGCAGTTTTGGTAGAAGTAGGTCTGGAAACTTCTTCCATGTTAGTACTTGTAGTAGCTTCCGTAGTAGTTGTTTCTGCAAAGATTGAACTGGTCTTTAATTATAGTTTATAGTATAAACACAGAGAAATCGGAATTATACCCAAATTCGTAAAATTCAGTATATTTTGTAACACGTTTACCGATCTATACAACAACGAAAGTAACGCATTCTAGTTAACCCTTTGACTACTAACAGGACATACAAGTCCCAGTAAAAGTTTAAAAATTATTGCTGGGTCGACGATTGCTAAGAATCTCCTGAATGTTGGGGATTATCTTCCAACAATTGGAAAATCACCACTACTGTGCATGTTATACACAAATGAACATAGAGAAAAGAATAAATATGAGTCGCCGAATGTGTAATGTTGCGTTATGAAAAGAATGCTTTACCCTGTACCATATGATGTACATATATCTCATATAATAAAGATTTCCAGAATAAAATAGGTGTGCTTATAGTACGTCGATCGCTACGCATGGGACATATGTGTCCTACCATTAACTACGGCTGGGACATATGTGTCCCAGTCTTTGGCTTGAAAATCGTTTGTTAAAAATTCCAGATGCTAAATTTAACTTAATTATGAAATATTTAGTTCACTTGGATAGAAAGCGGGATAATTTTTTAATTCATAGTCAAATGATTAAAATGCCCTTTATAACATCCAAAGTCAAGCAATGTAAAAGGACAAAGCTAGCGGCATTAGCAAATTCTAGAACAAAAGAGTTTAAAATTCTTGAAAGTGTAGCAACCCTGCAAAAAACAGAAACAAAAGGAAATGAATTAAATCAAGGCATTCATATCACTTTTGGTGGAGATCCAAACGTAAAACATATCGACTGAGTTGCAGAAATTGAAATTTAAATGTCAAAAACCCTACACCGGTTCATTCTGAATGATCCCATTTCGACCTAGGAAGACAGCCGAACATAAACTAAATCTGAGGCAGATAGCCCTCGCGTGCTTTGTCGTAAACAAATAAACCAATCCTTACAAACTCTGTCATCTCTGCGGCAATAATGACTGTGGATGGCTCATTTCGAAGTGCATCCCTGTCACATTTTCACTGATTAACACAAAAATTATGTCGCTTAAAGTTCATACACATTGGTTGCTTTTACCCACCATCCTCAAAAAAAAAAAAAAAAAAAAAAAAAAAAAAAAACTCCTCTCGAAGTCCTCTCAAATCACTCTGACATCATAAAACAACTGATGAGTTTGCCACTCGCTTAAACTACGTTAAACATGAAGGCGCTAACAAAACAATGTGACTATAAAAGATTAACGCAAAAATATAAAACATCTTATTACAAAAAGAAATCGTCTTCGTAGAAGATAGAAATTAATTTGAGATCCAACAGTCAGAATAGAATTAAATCGCATCAGCAAGAAAATTAAAACAGAAATTAAACCGAAAATTGGGAAGAAAAAGTTGCAGATGTAGAACTAAATGATGAATTTTTCTGGAATTTTTTCTGGTTCCTTCTGAACAACCACAAGTGTAGTCAGACGTCACTATGCATACTCGGTTGTTGACCAAGTAAGAGCATTCTCGAAACATTTAGAACAGCAATTTACTTATAAGATGACATTAGTAGACACACAGGTCAACACGCAAGATGAGAATTTGTTGATTCCTGGACCATCAAGCTCTATTCCTGATCTCACTACTCCTGGTGAAATTCAAAATTTAGTTCGTAAGTCGGACTTAACTGTAACTGTTGTAAGCCTTGACAAATTTACCAACAAGATGTTGGATAACCCGAATTTCAATATCATCGCCATATTCAGTAAAACTGTCAAAGCCTGTCAGATGCTAAATTATCTCCCCAAATCTTGGAAAAGTGTTATTTTTTCCTCCTCAAGCCTGGAAAGGAGAACACCCAAATGAAGAATTTCCGAGCTATAAGTCTGCTTTCCAATTTCAGCAAAATCCTCAAAACATTATTTAAAAAATAATGAATCCATATTGTCAGCTACTTCCCTCCCACCAGTATGGATTTAGGAAGCAACTGTTTAATTCAAGGCAGCTTTTCAGGCTGGTCGAATTTATCGCTGCAGCTCTGCACTATAAGAAATGCAAGACCCTTTTTATACTAGACATGGCGAAAGCTTTTGACCACATTTGGTATAAAGGATTGAGCCACAAACTGATCAAAATAAATTTTAGTCGGAAAATTGTCCTTCTCCTTAATTCCTTTCTTACCGACAGGACGTTTAGTGTCAAACAAGGGAATGTCATTTCAACCTTCAAAAACATCACTGCAGCAGTCGCATTGCAGAATGGGCTGCTTGGGCTTATTTTGTGCCCCTAGACCTACCCTCTACCTTTTTTATGCAACTAACTATGAATATCAAAGCCTTATTAGTAATTTCTGCCACTACTGTCAGTATTTTACATTACACGGTTAAAAACCTCAGGGATTAAAATAAATAAATAAATAAATAAATAAAATTTTAAAAAATCTGAAAGGTTTCAGATTTAAATTCGTCCAAAGGGGCGTTTTTTAAACTTTTGTGTGTTACCTTATTTATTAAATATCATGTTTTTGTCAGTTAAACCATGAAATTTAGTTCAATAGCAATGTCGCAAAATAATTTTAAAATGAGAGCATATCTTTAAATTTCCGATACACAGTGGCGAAAAAAAAAGAGTTGTTTTCCCTCGTAGAGTGTTGCCATGCTTGCTTGAATCATTGAGTTTGTACTCAAAAAATCGTTAAGTTTTTACAATATATGATTATCGATAATAAAACAATTCCAAATTTCAAATTGGGATTTCAGATGCCATTTCGCAGTAGGATTACATCATTCAAATTGGGTGGCTCTAGATACCGTTGTTTTATCAGAATGCGAGAATATACATACATTTGCAGATTTTTAATTATTTAATTTCTTCAAATATAATGCAGGACTCTAACATTTTGTGGCAACAGTTTGAAAAGTGAACCGACATTTATAGGAGTCAGACACAAATACCAAAACGAAAGTAATAGTCCTTCGGGGACTCAAATCCCTTTAGACTAAAAAGAGATTTGAGTTATGCGATAAATATAAGCAAAATAATTTCAAACCACAAATATACCATGAAAACTATTAAGAAAAGACTTAAATGAAAGACAATATTTTTGTGAAGGGTATTTTATACAGCAAAAGTATAATGTTTTAGTGAAAAAGATTTTAATAGTTTATGAACCTTGTAATTGTTTTGAGAAACAAACCAATTCATTAACAGCCTCAAAACGATGACTCAACTAATCTCGCTTTTGAAATTGTACTACAAAATCTTCAATAAATAGATAACAATACCGAGGATGGAAAGCCAAGATTTAAAATAATTCATTTTGCCTAAGAAAGAACAGATTTTTGTCTAGTTGTTGTGTACAGAGGTTATTGATGGTAAAAGAGCCGGTATTTTTTAAACACCGTAATTCCTCACCAGAATTATTACAAAAAAATCAATTCATGTTTACTTACTCCATTTTGCTCCTGCTTTTCGTAGCAACTCCATGAAGTATAAAAATTTCGTTGCATGTTGAAGCTTTTGCACGACTCGTCTATTTCTCCAAGCTGTAAAAGGAATAACAGTTTAAGCAGTAGTATATAATATTAATAATATAAACAGAGATTTTACTATATCTTTTTTTAAGGTATGCACAGAGTTTTATAAATTTCTAGTGGGGAAAAAAAAAAAAAAAAAAAAACAGATTTATTGAAAAACAAACATTTATACATCGTCCTTTTTCTTGAAACATTCTCCATTTTTACCAGAAATGTCCTGTATTCTAAAAATTACACCTAGCAGCACTGGTTCGAGGCTAATCAAACATTCAAAGATACATTTAATAAACCTTTCCATTTTTGCTAGTGTTTTTATGTCTTTTTATTACGCTTATTAATATATCTCAGAGCTATGTAATTTTCACATTATTTACTAATTTAATAATTAATAATTTTAATTAAAAATTTACATTGTTTCAAAAGAAATGTTTGTCCTAAAAAATAAGATTTTTTTAGCATAGTAATTGAATTATGAATTCTCTTTTAATTTGTAAGATATATTTTAATTTAAATAACAGGTTAAAATATCATAATTAAAATATCATAACAGATATTTTAATTTAATCGTGCTTTCCTATAGTTCCTCGTTTCAGCTTACAACTTCCTACCAGAATGAGTTTTTAGAATCGCTTTGAATGCAAATGAGTAAGAAGTAGTATTTAAAGAAGGTTCAACTTACTTCGAGAGAGAAAACTAGGAATCTCGGGTAGCGCGTGTTTACCTTCGAGCTAAGTCATGGGCCTTATAATAGAAGGATCTTTCTTACAAGGTCCATGGGCTAAGTCTCTAGAAGCTGTTACGCTCGGCTGCATATTATGTGCCTTTTGATATTCACCGGCTAGTTTAAAGTAACAGTCAACTACGTTAGATTTGTGGTAGCTTCGACTAAGTCTCTTAGTTAGTTATAGTTAGTTCTTATTTCTTATTTTGATTTCAACCCGAGTGGAGGCGTTGTTGTAAGCCCGAAGAAAGGGGCCGACTGTTCTGTCCAAACTTATTTTGAGTGAAATAAAGGGTAGTTAAAAACCCTTCTTGAGTTTACGATTCCTGTTATTTGAACTAAGCTATAAGTCGCTTAACAGTTCAACTAGGTTCCTCGACATTTACTTTAGTAGAATAAGAGTGAAGAACTCTACAAATTTACTCCCTGTTTGATTTACGATCAGTACAGACAAAGAAGATATTTGCATAAATACCAAGAGTAGAAAATATAAGAAGCAACTATAAAAAGGTGCTTTATGTCAATTCCATTCAGTGAAGTTCAATGAGAGGTAGTTGGTTGGCAGCTCAAAATCTTTTCGCCATTTCTTTTGGCACAGATGGAAAAAAGTGCAACGAGGGGCTTCAGATTCTTATTTCAAGAGTTATATGAGTAGTTGAATTTCTGTTTGTGGTAGCTGGAGCATGTCCTTCAGAAGACATTTAATGGATTGTGGGAAATAGCGAGCGATTAAAAGAATAGAAGGAGGACTGACACTGTCTGTAAAGACCTAAACGTAGCCAAAACCGTAATGACAAGAATATAGAAATGCTAAGACACTGATGATGTATGCAGACAAACCAGATCAATGTCGAAAACGTGTCACAACAGCCTCTCTAAAAAGAAACAGACAACTAATGACAACAAAGACAGAAATTGCTGCAGCTACAGGGATTCGACTATCCGGATACGTCATGAAGGACAAAATACATAAAAGAAGGCAAAAGGAAACCAAGATCTGTGACCTACTAACTCTTCGGCGAAATGTTTCCAATTGCAGTGGTTCAGAGATCATCGTGATTAGAGTACCACAGACTGTAAACGAGTTTTGCTTACTGACGAATCTCGTTTTTGTTTGGAGAAGAAACGTTTTAATCTGGCAGGAGCAAAATACACGCAATAAGCTTGGAAATATCTATGAAAAGCATCAGTACAAAGGTATATAACAGCCAGGCATGATTTTGAATGACCACACTAACTTATATATTCTATCAGTGCAACTATGAAAACGCTGACATAGACAGAAATGAGGTTCTTAATCATTATGTCACGTTGTTTAGGGATGCAATCGGTAATAACTTCCCCCTAATATATGGTAATGCTCTTCCGCATCACATTGCACTAGTGACCAATTGCCGAAGGAATTTCGTGGATGAAGTGGTCCGTCTAGACTTAAATCCAATAAAACATATGTGGGACGCACTAGGACATACACTTACATCAATGCAGCTCCCCACTTACCACTGTGCAGGAGGGAGCTACAAAGTGCATTTCATTCTGAATACACTTTGTTACCAGAGGAACTCCTGTTACCAGAGGAACCTCTAAACAATCTAACACAGTTTGGAAAACGAGTGAAAAACTAAGCTTGCATTTCTGTCGGGAGTGATCCATTCATCATCATTATTATTATTTTTTTTTTTTTGTACTGCATTTCTAAAACATTGTAACACTAACGTTTCCCTACCTCACTTTATGTTATATTTCCTATATTTTTATTTAAATTTAATTTTTTTGCAGAAATACGCAATTCTGCATTTTGAAGACATGCCAGGCATAGCAAAATAAAGATCTTGGACGAGTTCCGTGCTCTTAGCCGGTAAATCATTCGAGTTACATAAAATTTTACTTATAAACAGAATATCTCTGAACTCCACATATAAACTTTGAGACGATATAGAGAACATCAAGAACATAAGTCTTTCTACATACCTCAGCATTCCAGGTCAACATGTCGGGCATCCTCATTGAAAATTAGAGCGTCATATGGAGAACATGCATCATTTCATAAATGCTGAGTTGGTGGACCTGCATTTCGTGTTACGATTAGATGACGGTTACAAGTATCAGCATTTGAAAAGTAATTACTGTGGAGGGAATACTTTATCCCCGCAGATGACACTAGTTGTCTAGTAGCAATTGTGCGGGTACGCAGAGTAAGTTCGCAGACGCGTCAGAGCGATTGAAATGGCAAGACGTTCAGAAAACTGGTTTCACCTGGAGGTGCGAGCCATGGTTCATTATCCTCATCCAGTGTCTGGAGCATAACCGTACCGTTACGGCCGATCGTTATTGTGCCGCTTTGACAATATTACATGAAGCCATCAGACGCAAGTGCCCTGGCATGTTGAGTGATGGTGCCTCCTGCATGACAATGCCCGACCCCATACTGCTGGACCAGCTCTAGAATTGCTGCAAAATTTTAAGTGGGAAGTCGTCGCCCATATTTAGCACCCAGTGACTAGTTCATTTTTCCGAAACTGAAGAAACATTTATCTGAGATGAGGTTCCCTTTAGCCACACCAACAAAACAACCACCAAGAACTGGCTCAATGAGTAGGGACATAATTTCTACCAAGCCGGGTTAAAAAGTTGGTCCTACGTTTAGATAAATGTCTAAATAGATTTGGTAATTATATTCTTGCGTTTTTTTTCTTACTTCTGACACCAGCTGTACGTTATTTTCTTCCTTCACGTTCGTACGGGGTTTGTGTAGATTTGGAGTGAATAACGACGACACTTTGTGAAGTATCGAAACACACTTTATTTGCCAGTATTGTCGGGACAGCTCCGAAATACGTTTTACAGTCGTCGAAGATCTACTATAAGCACGCTGACACGATCAGCAACACAGCCTTCCAGGTTATCAGGCTATCACGATGGAGACAGTTTCCTGCAAAGCACCCGACTCTGCTTTCCGGAGTACAGCTCCCGACTTTGCTTGGTCGTTCTCGGTACTCCACGTACTCTCGAGACTCTCCGCGCTACAACTCGCGATGCACTCGCCGACACACGAGCACAGCTCCTGACTCTTCGGTTCAGTCTTTCCCGGAGCTCAACACGCTCTCTCGACGATGCACTAACCGCGATACACTAACAGACTCCTTCAGTGGACTCGACGACTCACTCGGCACTCGCTCGGCTGTCAACTCGATCGACTCTGCAGGGATTGATTCGCTAGACGAGGCACACGCACTCTCGATGAGAGACACACTTACTGACTGCGGACCAGCAGGGCTTATATAGCTTTTGGCTTGTGTTCGGGAACATTCTGGGCTAAACCGGTAAGAATTCGTTCCAGGAGGTTCTCCAACCGTCCATGGTAAATCACCAATTTTGTCGCCAAATGGGAGATTTCTCGCCAAATGTGGTAACCCTGCCTTCCCTTGCCATTTTATGGCAACCCTAAAACTACTTTGCGGGGAAGCTATCTTACCGCGCCTGTACATTTCGTAACAATATGGAAAAATGACAGCAAAGTACACCTCCTAATTCCATCTTGTAATTTTTGTCTATTGTTAATGAATTTTTTATTACCCCTCGTAACCTTCTTTTTTTTTTTTTGGATCCGCCCTCGAGTTTTTTCATTGGTTTTTGCACGCAAGAATTTAACTGCTATTTGCCATACGTAACAAATTTCATTTTTCTGGATAGGATTTTAGTTATTTAAAGAACAATGATTATTCTGATATTGAAACTTACCCTTCCATCTATGATCACGATATGAAATATTCCAATATCCCTCAAAAGTAGGGTCGAAGGCTCTCATGAGACTTTCGGGATCTATTTCTTCTTCGTCTTTATCCGTATCACAGATATGGGAAAAGCCATCATATTTCATACACTTCTGGCAATAAAAACGTTTTATTCTACCCGTGGAAGTTCCAGCATCTAATTTTTCACCATGCTCACTGTTACCGGGAGGTTCAGCATCTGCCATTTTCAATATATCTAGCTTGAAGAAGAAAGTTTAGTCTCATAGAAAGGTGTAAAATTCTCTATGAATAATATTGTTGCGAATTTTAGACTTAGATAAGAAACTTTAGTGGAATTACAAGTTGTTGTATTTCTTTTGTATAATACAACATGTAAAAATCTAAAGAGACGAGCTGTGCCGTAAAAGTAAGAATATCCCGGTGATTTGGCGAGATATCACCAACCTGACAACGGTTTTGGACACTTATTTTTCTCAAACTTGGCAACCATGTGGGTCCGGTCCCTGTACCACCGTAATAGGTATTGTAATTGAATGTAGTTGATCATTATATTAGCTGCAAGCCGTAATTCGACCCTCTTACTGTTTTCCAGTTATTTCGAGAAGCAGAAAGCACTGGAAATATCTCAGCGGCCGGTTGAAAATTATATAAAGCCGGAGAGAGCATCTGCTCTCAGTTATTGTTTTTGCGAGTTAGTTCAGAATGAACTGAGACATCTCCGTTGGCTCTCTTTTTTAGATACGCTTTGCTTAGCCTTGTGTTTAACGTTCCTAATAGTTTGAAGTGTACTCTGTGATACTGTGAACAACACTACGAGGATTTTTGTGTTAAGTTACAGAACTTTTGAAGTGTTTCTTTTGATTAAAATGAATTTCATCAACCAATCATCCGACTTGTGTGTATTACGAACCCATACACATGCAACAATATCGAAATTTGGAAAAATACGTGAAACATAAACTTGGAGCACAAATAATGATGAATTAATTATAAGGAAAGCATTTCAGCAAATGATGTATTTTACTGAAATTGAAATGTGGGTATTTACGTATTATCGTAGAAGTCACAAAAGCTTCAGAATACACTAAACTCTCATAACCACTTGCATAGCAATCATTCCGGCAACCATGCGCATGACATATCTTCAGTTTCTATCGCCGCCATTTCCTTATGCGTTCTTTTTGTTGTATCCCAAGTTTTAACGGCTCGTTGCGAAAAATTATGGTTATTTTTTGTTTTAAATTCGACTTTAAAATTTGTGCTTATAGTATTCTATGACAGAAGATAGAGAGGTGAAATTTCTGCAGGAATACATTCTTTTGCCGCAAAATCGCTAAAGAAGCAATGTTTCCAATTCGATCTCAAAGCGAAAAATCGCTACGAAATTTACGCCACAACAAAAACAAAACCTAATTCATTAGTTAACAATTTTGTTTGTCTTTCGGAATGCAATACATATATTTTTTCAATAAAAAATAATTTTTTCTTTCGCTAAATTTGCCAGACTGCGCCATGGTGATTGCGATAATATGTAAGTACCGAAATGTGTGTGAATTGAAAATTGTCTCCAGTTGGAACTATCGTTGATTATCGGTGTGTGTCTGCCTTCTCTTTTACGAGTGCATAATGGAAAAGTACCAAGACATCATATAAAATGCAATCTAAGATATATCTTAAGTCGCGCTTTCGAAGCATGAAAACGCAGATTAATATCACCCAGTAGTACGGGAGATATACAACTGTCCTATTTTCTTTTGTGCAGAGTATATATACGTATACACGCATCCATGAACACATACATCCTCCACAGATAAGTGCATACGTATATATATTTCTGAATCTGGTCCCGATAAGAGTAGGATAATTTATCATACAGAATGAGTGTAATAAGAGATCAAATCGTTCTTTTTACAAAATTAATCTACAATTTTACTCACGAATAATAAAAGCTTGGGGCGCTGTTAATACATCTATAGAGATGGTGGCTTATAATATGACAAAGCAATACGATTATTCAACTTAGTTATTTAAGCGCCCAAGCTTTTAGCATTCGTGATACAAAATTATATACGGATTTTGTAAAGAGAATTATTTAATCTCTTATTACCATAAAATTACAGGATAAATTATCTTTCTGCTTTTAGTTCATTAATAAGTATGAATTTTAAATAAAAGCCTGTTTTATAGAAAAACTTTGTTTTCAAATTTTTAATTTTAATCCTTTTAATCTCAACAAGTTATCACATTATTCAACTGAAAAACCATTTTTGAACTATGAATAATCATTCTTTTTATTTCCAATAACTCCGTTACGTCAAATGGTCGAGAAAATACAACGATTTTTGAGGGGGGGGAAGAAGTTGCATTAAAATATTCCATAAATTTCATTTAAAATTTTTTTTTTCTCTCTATCCGATGTTGCAAAAAATAAAATTCGGAGTATTTTACTTAATTCATCAAACGAAGAGAAGTGGATAAAATGGTTTCAACATTAAATTTAAAAAAAAAAAAAAAAAAAAAAAAAAATCTCTTTATTACACTATCTAATTTCTCACAATAAGGTAAATAAGATACGAAAATAAAAAATTACAAATTTATAACAATACGCGATGTTTCGAGCGGAAATAGCAAAGACTATGCAATTATTTTAATGCGTAATGTTTACTTTGTAATTGCATTCGATAAGTAACTTTTGGATTAAAATAATAATGCAAAAGTTACTTATCGAATGAAAGTTTCGACTTTCGCGATTCGACTTTTGAGAAGATCGGCAAACTGTTGATATTTATCGTAAGTCGGAAAACATTATCAAGATATAAAAAAGAAAGCAATGAAATATTCAGTTTAAAACACAAAAAAGGACAATTAAAGCTACTACAACTTACAGTTAATACAACAGCAGAAATTTAAAATGCAAAAAGTGATACATTGCGCATAATATATAATACTGTATTATATAATATTACAACAGCACTATATAATATATAATACTGTTGTTCTTCCCATGTACATAGCCATCCGTTTTCACAAAAAATTAGAGAAACTCGCGATTGGCGACAGCACCAGCCATGATCACGACCCCATAGAACATCTACAGCTTTAACATACACTTGAACATATTGAAAATAAACGAGGGTTCCTTTTATTACCTTTTAAAAATAATAGCTAGCAATCAGAAACACAGAACAAACGACCGAGAGAGAAATATCACACAACTACACTGATTAGAGTTCTAAAAAAAAAAAGTAATGTTTCCAAAAAAAAGACCCAATAACGAAAATAAAGCTACTAAAACAATATCACACTGAATAACGGAATCACCAAATTTAGCGTGCATTTGGTGATTCCATTATTTCCATTTAGCCAATAATAATAATAAATGAAACTTACCTTCCGTCCTCGGCTTGGCCCGAATTCTTTGAGCGAGAGAATTTTTTTCATTGTTTTGAGCAGTTACAGTTATAAATTTTAAATCATTTATTCAATAATTTTAATCGTTTGGTAAATTTCAATAATGCATTTAACGAGCTAACTCGTTGTGTTAAATGTTAGCAATAACACACAAAACAAAATAAAGTGGATTTATAATTTTAAAAAACATCTCGCACAGTAACATTATACATATAAATCAACTCAGTTCAAATATAATTTAAATTTTCTTCAAATATGACACGATAGCATAACTATTACTTTTTCTAGAACGAGGCGTAGCTAATATCACGTCATAAAAAACGTGTCCAAGCCTAAGCAAAGTCTTTCTATCCTAGAAGATGCACAAATTAAGCCAACGTCTTGATTTGTGCAGCATCTTCTAGGATTGAGCTATACGTGATTTGTAGTATGTGTTTACTTAACCCTCGTTCACTAAACTAAGAAGTTCTAATTAGATTAAACTTAAAAAAAAAAAAAAAAAAAAGACATCGGGGAAAAAATCAATTCTGGGTTACCTAAAGAACAGTCCCAGCGTCAATATTTAGCGCCAAATTAAAAGCGCATTCTTTACAACATTACAACCAATAAAACTTACACAAACGATTATCACAAAAAGCACTCACGTCGAAATTATTCAACTGACGTAATCCCGAAAATAATAGCAATAAACTGCGGATACCAAAGTTAAGCTATTAGCGATTTGAAATGAATTCACTTCATAAAAATGATTTGGTTAATATTCTTTAATCTTATAAAATTGCTGAACTAACCTTTATTTCACATTTAATTACGTCAACTAATATTTTTTAAATTAGATAAAATAAAACTCACTATGCTATCAAATTTTTCAAAAAGTGATGTATGTGTGCGTGCGTACATTCGGGAAAAAATATTAATAACCGCACGCGAATCAATCTAATAAAATTATATCTTCCTTATTGAGAATAAAATATGCTGTACTCAAAATTCTTGCATTTTGGTTATAATAAGAATTACGAGCAAATTTCCTCGAGTAATTAAGAGTGATTTTATATTACATGAATGGCAGAACTTCGTGTTAACAAGAACGATAATTTAAATTTTCCAAAGAACTGCATATATGCCATTTTGATACGTAGTTTTATTTAATAGTATCTTCCTGATTGTCGCTAAATAAAAAATTTTAAACCCTTTTTTTATTTTGAAAAAAGAAAACACGCAAACAACTGGAATAGTCATCGAGGAGAGACTGCTTGACGAGTCATCGTAAATTTTTAACATTTATATATGAAAAGAAAACATATTTAAATACTATGTGGTACTTTGTTATCGAAACTGGATTCATAAATTATATGTACGTATATATGGTGTTCTTTTAGTCGCTAATTTCGCTGTCTGATATCAAACCAAGGCTGCGAAATCCAAAAATTTATGCAGTGCAAATATGCATATTCTCTAATAGGTCTAAGGTTGATATTGAAATAAAAAGAAAACCCTCCCCCTCCCCTAAAAAAATTAAAATCACGTTTTCCTAGAAGAATCCAGAAAATCTTCTAAGACTGCTGCTAAGCTTAAAGAAAGCAGAATCATCTGGTGTAATTGGTAATGTTTCAGTAAATGTAATTTAGTGAGCTCTGATCATATTTTAAAGTAGACAAGCATTTCATTAAAATGTAACAAAAACAAAAGAATGGGAGGCCTTTTTTAGGAGCTTATTCTCACATATCCCTCTGACTATAAGAAAGATATTGGATATTAATAAGGCAGTTCTTGGATGTTCACGCATTTTGATGTTTCTTACAAACCAGAAATG